ATGAGCCAATGCCAACCCCTCACCGCCTCCTGCTCCCATCAGGCCAACCAAGTGAATAAACCCAGGGAAACAGAAGGAAGGTCTTTTAGGACAAGCTGCATTCACTATCTAGAAGTAGCATTGAAATGTGCAAATCGTTTCCTTAAGGAATAGATGCAGAGAGGAAACCTTCATTGTTAAAATTCTGCCCCATTGCTGATCATAGTATTAAATATGGTATTGTTGCATCCTATAAGCTTTCTACTATAGTTGTTACCCTGTCTGCTCTCATGGATCTTGGGTCAAAATACACCAAAAATACAATAAATCACCCGGCGTAGCTGTTTATTCCTGTCTATGCCTCATACTTGTTGTGTAACATCTAACATATTGATAACCTGCTAAGTGCTTGTGTCTTCATCTCCAAGTGCAATTAACAAGTCCACCCTTTGACCTTTCTCCAAGGATGTGGTAAGGCTGAATACTTTTTCTAAGCTATTTCATAAAACAAATTGAAGAGAAAAAATTTCTGAGATAAGAGTAAGAAAATACTCAATGAAATCAGAATGGTGATGTATTTGAGGCTTGTATGCAGATAGACTGTGGAAAAGTAAGGTGAGATGCCTCAAATTTGACAAATTGAAACAGTAAGTTAAAGAATGTTAATTCTTAATAAAAGGAACAAAAAGCCATGAAACATCCAATTTGATGATGATTAGCCTAACAGAGTCATTATTGGTTAACAGGGAAGGGAGGAGATGTAGTCCTAGTTGAATAGTCAAGTCCTCCCTTTCTGAATGTTCAGACTGAGTCCTCCGTAGGAGTGAGTGCAGCTACTTCCAGGGACTCTGGGCTGGGTACAGCCCCTGGGGACCCGGCACAGCCCTTGGGCACTCTGCACTCTGACTGCAGCTTTCCTTCTGTGTCTGTTCCCTGACAGAGCTCTCAGCATGGCGGTTCCTCTACTTCACTTGCGTCTACCAAAGTATGCAGCTCGATGGATGAGAATGATGGATCCGGAGAAGGTGGTGAGCTTGGGACTTGGTGTCTGAGGAAAAGGCTCAGCTTGGACAGGGGGCAGAGGATAGGTTGGCTAAATTTACTCCAGAAACTGTAACTTCTCAAGCAGAATAAAATGGGCAAGCCTGAAGCAGCTCATAAGGGTCAATAGCAAGGGGATAGAATTGAGTATGACTCCCACTTGGGATCATATCTACTCTGTGGGAACAGGAAGAGGAAATCAACCTAATTTGGAATGTTTCATGTCCTCTGAGTCTGTAAGTATCCTAAGAAGGTCAGCTTTGGAAATAAATGGGGGTAATTTCTGCTTTTGTTTTTCTGAATTCTTTTCAAATTTAGTATACGCTCTCTTTGTTAAAAATTAATATTTATTGTTGAAAGTATTACAGATGTCCCCTTTTAGATCCCATTGACCCCCTCCACCCACCACTCTCTCCCCAACCAGGCCTACTATACTATTGTCTATGTCCATGGGCTATGCATATATGCATAATAAGTTATTTGGTTAACCTCTTTCCACCCCTCACCCCGGCCCCTCTTCTCTTTGAGATTCATCAGTCTGTTCCATGTTCCATGCCTCTGGATCTATTTTGTTTGTCAGGTCATGGTGTTCATTAGATTCCACAGCCCCTGGGGACTAGGCACTCTGCACTCACTTATCATATAAGTGAGATTGTATGATACTTGTCTTCCTTTGATTGGTTTATTTCACTTAACATAATATTCTTCAGGTCCCTCCATTTTGTCTCAAAGGGTAAGAGATCCTTCTTTTTTTACAGTATACTCTCTTGATTGACTGTTATAGCCCTGCTTACAAAAAGAATTAATTTATGATAATTGCAAAAATACTCTTTGTGCCTTGACCTAATTCACTTTAGAATTTTTCTGTGATGTGGTCAAGTGACCTGGATCCAGAACTGACCTTTTCACTAATTCACTGGATTGTTTTGGGAAAGCTTTTTTAACTTTCCATATCTTAGTTCCTCCTCTGTAAAATAAAGGTTATAATACACTCCTGTTTCCTTCCTTGGGTTAACAGGCTCAAATCAATTATGGGAAGGTATTCAGAAAAGTATGAAACTGATATGATCAAATTACTGTTAAAGAATAAACCCCCTTTATTTGTTTATTTGTATTTTTATTTATTTGTTATATATTAGGAGTGATTAAAAAACATTAAAAGTGGAACTGCCTTATGACCCAGTCATTCCATTTGTGGGTATGTATCTGAAGAAACCCAAAACACCAAGCAGTAAGAATATATGCACTCTTATGTTCATAACAACAGTGTTTACAATATCTAAGATCTGGAAACAGCCCAAGTGCCCATCATGAGTGGATTAAAAAAGCTGTTGTACATTTACACAATGGAATACTATGCAACTGTAAAAGAGAAGGATCTATTACTCTTTGAGACAGCATGGAGGAACCTGGAGAGTATTATGCTAAGTGAAATAACCTGGTAAGAGAAAGACAAGTATCACATAATCTCACTTATATGTGAAATCTAATGAACAAAATAAACTGATGAATAAAATAGAACCAGAGGCATTGAAACATGGAACAGACTGACAAATCTCAGGGGGAAGGAAATTAGGGGGAGGGAGAGCAGGAAGAAATTAACCAAAGAACTTATATGCATATAAGCATTGTCCATGGACACAGATAATAGGGTAGTGAAGGTCTGGGGTTGGGCAGGAGCCAGGTGGAGGGAGGCTAAAGGAGGAAAATAAGGGATATCTCTAATATTATAAACAATAAAAATAAACTTAAAAATAAAATAAAATTCATGAACTCTTATTTGTTTTAAATTATATTACTTAATTTTCCCAAAAGAGTACCTTTGGGCAGTAGGGGGTGGGAGCACTTTAATTATATTAAGTGAGATAGCAGGTTTACACAAGAATTATTTCTCAACTACCATGAAATATCAGACTTTTTTCCCCAGAAGTATGAAATTTAGCCATTCAGAAGTCTCTTTTGTTCCAATGTGTTATATTTACTTAAAGGTCCTTGGCTAAGCCTTTGGCTAAGTCTTCTTAGGCAAAAGACTAACAGATACATTTTACCAATAGTCAGGGGAAAAATATTCCAAACTTTGTGCTCCAGATGGGTGCCTAAGTGATGCTCCCACTAAGGGAAGGACAGAAGTACCTTGGATTCCCCATCCAACAGCCAAGGATATTTACTTTTATTACTCATGTAGTAAAGAGCCTTAAAACCATGTCATCTGAGGGATGTTTTATAAATTAAGATACTTTGTAGTGGATTTGAAACTTCTCCAACCATCTCCTCTAATTCCTATGGAGTAGATTAAAAACAAAACAAAGCAAAGCAAAACAAAAACAAAAAAACAAACACCAACACCCAGGCTGAGTCTTTTAAACAAAGACAAAATTGTTGACTTCTTTGTGGGTGATATGATAGGTGTGAGGGGTTTAACTGGCTCTGGCTTTCACTTTATTTTAGAAGCCACTGTGATAGCTTCTAGTGGATTGAGTAAAATGTCACTTATAAAGAGGTGAAGAGACTGCAGAAATAAATGTGTAGTATAGAAGTAGTAGACGCACATGTCCTCCATTTGTACAACATTCTCCAGAAATTCCATCCACCCTAGAATCCAGGGTAGTGCAGATTGAGTTTACCACAAAACCAGAATAAAGGTCTAATAATTTTGAGTTTCCATTTGTTGTTTCCTAACATTACAGATTAAGTGAGAACATAAAACTCAAGAAAGCACATTTACCATCTAATGTTTTAATTTTGTTTTAAGAAGAAATGTTTAGCCTCAGTTTAAATAGGAGCACATTTAGAATGCACACTAGGCTTCCATCACATTTTGTATTCAGGTTGCCTGAGGGGAGCTTGGATTTATAACTTTAAAGCATGTAAATTTTAGAGCCCAGTTATAAAAGACTTTTACACCCCTAAGATGTTAAAGGTTATCCAGCATATTTATGTGACCTAAGTGTGGCTTATTTAGTTTTATGGCCTTAGATATTTAAAGCATTATTAGGCATTTGTAAAATATTTCAAAATACATTTTAAGAGGGAAAATGTGTTGTGTTAGTGGCACTAACATAATTGAAACTACAAAACTTTTCTGTTCACAGATGTAATAGGTATTGCGATTTTAATTCAACATCTGCTATGCAGGTTGCTGGTGAGAACTACGTCTAAAATCTGCTCACTACTATGGTGGAGGAGTGGCAATCAGGGCTGAGTTCATATGGAATTTTACGGAGATCTCCACTTTAGGATGTAGTAATGATAAGTGTGCACATAGAAGGCATTTTCATGTACAATGTCAGGCAACCCAGAGTCCCTTATGAACTAACTGCATTTTCCTCTTCAGCCATACTTAGAAAGGTAATTTCTCTGCACACAGTGGGTATGCAGTCAATGCTATTGATCAAATTGACATAAAATAAAAAGAGTAAAATTTCCTCTTCAGGAGCCCAACTGCAGCAGAAAGCATAAGTTGCTCTTACATATGTGGGAGTGGACCTCGTACATTTATGTTTCCTTTTTGTTTACCATTTGTAAACTTAGTAAAGCTGTTGACTATACAATGTCAGCAGAGGGGGCTGCCCTCACAGTCCAAAAAATGACCGATTGATTCTTTATCAGTTTCAGTCTATTAGATGATACTTCTAAATGTCTCCTTTGTGCAACATCTGTGTTCTCTTTTCTACCAATAAAAACATACTAATGATTCTTTCAGAAGTGTCGGAGGAAGGCTTCCAGATTCCAGCCACAATAACAGAACGATATAAAGTTGGAAGGACAATAGGAGATGGAAATTTTGCTGTTGTCAAGGAATGTGTAGAAAGGTGAGGAAGAGATCATTTGCATCCAACTTTAAAGAAAACATTTGGCATTGTATTTTCCAAAATTGTGCCTTTATTTGCAGTCTGTAGCACATATGGACTTGGTTAATGCTTCAACTTCAGATGTAAAAAAAAAATTAAAGAAAGAAAGCCCATTTAACAACAGATTTGAGAAGTGTAGTGATTCCTGGAGATGATCTATAAATTAAGGACTTTCATTTTTCTTTTTAATATACTCAGCAAGACTTTACCAGGTTTTTCAGGTAAGTCCTGAAAATATATTAAATATATATACATATTGAATAGTTTTTCTACACTTTTTAAAATCCTCACCTGAGGATATGCCTTATTGACTTTTTAGAGAGATGGGAAGGGAGAAAATTCAAGAGAGAGAAAGTAACATCAACGTGAGAGAGAAATATCCATCAGTTGCCTCCTGTACATACCCTAAAGGAAATTGAACCCACAACCTTTTGGTATATGGGATGACACTCCAACCAACTAAGCCACCTGGCCAGGGTTACACTTTTTTTTGAGACATTTTATAGAGGTCCATTGTTCTTCTAAGTATATTGTACAATCATAAAATTAAATATAATAACCTTGTAAAGCTTTAAAATGTATTATGTACTGATCCCAGCAAAATGGTATTTAGTGAATTAAAATGTTTTATAGCGAATGAGCCAGGTACTCTTGTGAGCAAAGGGAAAAGTTTAGGGTGAAAGATTTATCTGTGGGATCTCAATACCTAATCAAGGACAGTAGTTGGTGGCTACTAGATGGGGAAGTGACAACTAATAAAGCTATAGCCCAATCACAGTGGCCTCAAACTCTAAGCTCAGCATGAGATTGGAATTTGTTGCTTACCTGAAGCCAGCAGCTTTTTTTCAGAGCTGGGTGAGTTGAGTGTTGAAATGTCAGGGGGGAATTGCCTTATTCCTAGAGACAGCAAGTCCGCTGGCTTCCTTGGGGCTCACCTGGGTGTGCAGGCTTCCCCTGTTATTCATCTCTCTCCCTCCCACCCTCCCCCACCCCTTGGGGCTGGACACCCAACTAGTTCTTCAGCACTGTGTGAGAACAATGCTCCTTCATGCTACACTCCCTTTCAGAGAGAAGGCCTTGGACTAGAAGCTTTAGCCTATAAGAGCCAGAACTTGGTCTTCTTCCAAGGGCTCTGACTTAGAAGCACATTAAAGCTGAAAGTCTACACAGGGCCTCATACACCAGGAGCATCCTTAATTTGAGTAATAGCCACTGATTTTATCTGTGAAACCTTTGCTATTCTTTGGAAAATGCTTCTTTGACTAAGGCAGTGGTGCCCTCATGAAGCTACCCTCCAACATTGGATCTTAAACTTTGCTCCACTCTACACACCAACTGGGCCAAGATTTTTCCATCAGTTACAGCACACACTAGAGCAACCACTCTTTGTGAGGGAAGACATGAATAATAATTAGTAGTTTAGAAAATCCTTGAGTTGCTACTGCAAGGTCACTTTTTCTCCTTTTTTTCCCTCTCATTCCCCCATCCTCAACATAAAGCCATTGTTGGGTTTCTGCCAAATATAGAAAATGTCCCATTACTTTCCTGGGCCCCACACATTAAAAAAAAACACACACAAAAAAACAGGAGTAACCACTGTTTATTGAACAAAAACCATGTACAAGGCCCTTAACTTATGATATTTCATTTAATTATCATAATTTCACAGCATCAGTATTGTTTCTATTTTATACAAAGAAAGCCTGGAGAAGTTATATGCCCAAGATCACTTATCTAGTAAGTACTTAGCAAGGCATAAATCTGAACCCAGCTCTGAAACCCCTACTTTTGACCACTCTACTCCATTGCTTCCATCCAGGGAGCTCCCACAAGAATATGGTTTAGCTGAGCCAAAGTCATACATACTACATTTGTCCTATGCAAAAAGGACAGAAATCAAATCTGGTGAGCCATTCATAAGGTAATGGATGAATGTGTGTGTGCTTAATAATTTCGTGTATACTTTTACTAATTATAAAACTCTTATTTCCACTGTAGCAGAAAATCCCATTGTTAGCAGATTGCCATACCCTTCAACTATGGAGTGTCTAGTTATTTGCCAGGGTTCATCATTTGTTGTGGCCATGTGTTTTTTGTCCTACCTGGTACATGGATCAGGATGGCATCTTAGTTTAACAGTACTGGTCTTCCCACAGTAGAAATTTCTCATTTTTCCATCTAGAATTCATTTATTTCTTTTTAGTTTGAATTGTTTATTTTGCATAAGTTCACATCTTGGGTCTCATTGTGTGAACCTTCAAAGTCTAAACACCAGATTACCCAAAAAAGTGTTAGTATTCCTCTCCAGTGAATGAGGACATGTAGCATGTGCCCTCTCTCCCCAGATGTATCATGAAACATTTTTAAAAATACTTCCCAGAGGTCTAAGAAAATAAAAGCAAGCTAAGGCACACATTGCTTGCGGGTACATTCTGCCATATTGTATTAACAAGAACCAGTATGTCTCTCTTCTGTTAATAATATGTGGTCACAGGGAAGATTTTCCTACAACAATGGATGCAATAATAGTGCCACACTGTCCTTTATTTCCACAATCCCATGCCAGCATGTCTTTTGATAGTGCCTGCCAGGTCCACCTAGGTTTCTGCCTATTCTCCAGTAGGCCACAGGACATGCTAAAAGAGTTGGTGGATTGAGAGGTGCTTTATTCTGAAGCTGTTTTCTGAAACATTTTGAAGCCGCAGAGAAAAGTCAAAGAGCTGAGAAGCACTACAAGAGGTCAGAGCACAGGTAGAGGGCTCACAATGAGGTGTCCTCACCTCTGGCTCTCCTGGCCCTGTGTGGACTAATTACCACACAAGTGATGCAGTCATGAGCAGTGATGGTCTCTCAGGTGGTTCTTGGGCCTCTTCCTCACCTGCACTGCATGGATTTTAGTAATGTAAGCCTCAGAACTCTATTAAAATTCTAGCTGCTCATGATTCCTTCTCTTTCCTCTTCACCTATAAGCCTGAAGAACTGCACAACAAAACTATTGGCTTTAGAATGAATGTGATCAGACTCAAACCCACCCAAAAGAACTGAGACTGGAGTTTCACCAAAATGGGTTGCATCCACCTCAAAAATCTTCAGAATGCTCAAGAACTCAAGAACTATATACCTATAATTTGAAGGCATTTTCTGATGAAGTGGGATGGATTGGGAAAATGAGTCAGGGTGAAGAAGCTTATAGTGTTCTTTCTTTCCTGAGGATGCTCTGGCACCCATGTTCACATTCAAAATAAAACTCCACTCTGGAGATTTTAGATCCGGGATGCCTCAGCTCTCTCATCTTGACAGCACCCTTCCTACCCCCCCCCCCGCCCCCCAACACACACTTATTAAGGAGACTGAGATGTAGCTTTAGTATTATTACCTGATAAACAAAGTGTGATGTTTACTAACCCTCTTTGCTAATGGGTCTTCCTGTCATTGTCCTCACTGCCACCATCCTCTGGAGTTTCCACAACTTGATTAACATATCTGGAGCTATTAATTCAGGCCTGTGCTGGGCAATTATAGGCTCCAAAGAGAGACAAGACAGCCCCTCTCCAGGAGAACCTGCCCAAAAACAAAAACTTACTATGCAAGTCAATAAATGCTGGGGTAGAAAAATGATTAAGAAGCTGTTATTAGTTTTCCACATATTTTTAAAAACTTTCAAAACACAGCAAACAACAACAAAAAACACTTTAGAACAGGGCAGGCCCATCCTTGTCAGCCCATTCTCCTTTCTTAAGCATTCTTCTGCCCTCTGGGTGAGGAAGGGGGATGGGAGTAGGCTGGCTGGAGTTGAGAATCACTAAATTAAATAAGACAGCTTTCTCCAAGCCATTTTTTAGCACAAACATTAAAAATTAGATTTAGTTCAAGTTGGCAAAATTTGGAAATTTCATTCCAGTAGTTCAGGCTCTAACCTTGGGTCAAACTAAATAGGAAGGGGGCCTTTAAATTGAGTTTCCACAGACCTGGAGGAAAACAAAGTCTGTGCTGAGGCAGGTGCTGCTTTTGCTGTGGCATTCAAGGGTTTTATAATTCCAGAATAGGTCAAGCATATAATTTCAGGAACAAGCAAGAAAATGGCCTGAAGTTTCATCAGAAATGCGGGTATTTAGTATTTTCAATATACCAAACTATAGACTCCATGGGGACAAGCACCAGGTCTCACTCATCTCTGTAGCCACCAAAGCATCATGCTTATAATTGCTTGCTGAATAATTACATAGGGACATCCTCAGAGTTTAGTACAGGGGTCCTCAAACTTTTTAAACAGAGGGCCAGTTCACTGTCCCTCAGACCGTTGGAGGGCCGGACTATAGTTTTAAAAAAAACTATGAACAAATTCCTATGCACACTGCACATATCTTATTTTGAAGTAAAAAAACAAAATGGGAACAAATACAATATTTGTATTTGCATGTGGCCCACAGGCCATAGTTTGAGGACCCCTGGTTTAATCACTGAGCACAACCAGCCAGGGCATCGTTGTGTCTTTTTCAATCTCTTTTAGTAATGCTTTGTAGTTTTCAGTATATAGGTCCTTCACATCCTCTGTTTCTCTTTTGGTTGCAATTGCAAAAGGAATTCTTTATTTCATTTCATTTTCTGAAGTTTCAGAAACTTGTTAGTACATAGGAAAGCAGTGGATTTTTATACACTAATTTTATATCCTGCAAATTTACTGTATTTGTTTATTGTTTCTAACAGTTTTTTTGGTGGAGTCTTTAGGGTTTTCTATAAACAGCATCATGCCACCTGACATCTTGAAACAAGATCCTTTTTCTCTCTGGGTTCTTTGCACCAAGAACAGTGCCTGGCACGTAGTCAAGGACCGTTGGCCTAAATCACGGTGAGATTAGTAAGAGATCTAGATCCTGCACTGTCCCTAGACCGTTGGAGGGCCGGACTATAGTTTTAAAAAAAACTATGAACAAATTCCTATGCACACTGCACATATCTTATTTTGAAGTAAAAAAACAAAATGGGAACAAATACAATATTTGTATTTGCATGTGGCCCACAGGCCATAGTTTGAGGACCCCTGGTTTAATATATGTGGGAAGGCAGATACTTTATTTAAAGTTTTATGTCTTTACAAGTGTTTTCACTTACCAACTTAAAGCAAGCAGTTAAATTTTTATGGTATACATTTAGTCCTAACACCTTTTTTAGACTCATTTTCCAGTCTCAGGTACTCTCCTCTAAACATGTACTTTCAGTAATAAGGATTTTACTATGACTTTATAGTTCTTCCCTCAAGGAATCAAGAGAAAAATTTGAAGCTCATTGTCTGATATAAAATACTAGAAGCCCAGTGCATGAGATTCGTGCACTCGCAGGGTCCCTCAGCATGGCCTGTGGCCTCTCGGAGTCCAGGAACCCTCGAGGGATGTCCAACTGAAGTTGGCAGTTAGTGCTGCCACCAAGGAGGTGGGAGTGGCTCCTGCTACTGCCGCTGTGCTTGCCAGCCGTGAGCCTGGCTTCTGGCTGAGCAGCGCTCCCTCTGTGGGAGTGCACTGACCACTAGGGGGCAGCTCCTGCATGAGCGTCTGCCCCCTGGTGGTCAGTGGCATCATAGCGACCAGTCGTTCTGCTGTTCAGTTGATTTGCATATTAGACTTTTATTATATAGGATGGGTAAATCTAATTGAGTGTTTAATCCTATTGTGTGAGATTCTGTGTAGTGAACCCATTAGGTCCTTTTTCCTATTAAACGCTGGGACCACTATATCCTAGGCTTGTACGTATTTCCCACACAGCTGTAGACTCAGACATAACTGGAGTGCTTGGAGTCCTGGGAGGGAATACACCAGCTTCCTCCCTGGGCATCCTGCTCTTTGCATTTCTGGCGATAGAAGAGATTCAGTCTTCCTGGATCCCATACCAGCCCTTTGCTTTGAGAACTTTAATGTTCCTCATTCCAGGAAAATAGAGGATGAAATGGCAAAAATAGTGAAATCCCCCCTCCTCACCAGCACTGTTCTGTCCATCCATCCACTTTGTAGAGGCACTGAATGGGAATGGAAGTGTCAGTTCCAGCCTCCCTCTCTTGGACTGCTGGCTTTTATTAAAGCAGCCAGTTCCAAGAGTCCAGATTTGCCTACCACCAAATGGAACCTTTTAAACCAGATAAGAAATTGCTCATGGATTCTAATCTCAGATTTGTGTTATCATATTTTTATAGTGACTCATGAAAAGCAGAATCCAGCAGTACTTCAGCTTTTAGTTTTCCTCTTGATTCAGTTTTCTTAAATTTGCAAAACAAAGTCTCCAGAAGCATTGTAAGAGGAGGCTACCTAAAGAGCCCCCAATTCTCCTATGATGTGAGGAATCCCTTTGTATGTGAATCATTTCTCTTTCTCATTTATTGTTTGACCACACATTTGAAATTTCTATCAATAAATCTTTCATTTTCCCTCTTACCGACAGGTGCTTTTTCTCCACCCCTACACCATAACCTTGCTGATGTTCTGGTGTTTGTTTGGGGACATTGAACACCTAAGCCCAGCATTTAGCCAAGGCCAGCTCATGCTTTCTCCATATGGACCCTCTGTTCAGCTGTGGGCCTGAAGAATCAACATCGACTTTGGGCCTCTTAATCCTTTTATTCATGAGGCTGGAGCAATTTGATTTCCTCTAGACACCCTGCATCTCTGCAGAAGAGCCTCCCTGAGGCAGAGGGGTTTAGCTTCTCACATCTGAACTGAAAAGCCCTCTAGTGGAGAAAATGGGCTTCAGAGTGATTATTTTATTCTGGTTTTATTCACCAGATATAATTACAACAATTTGGTCAATATTTATTGTTTTCTGTAAGTCAGCATTATGCAGGGGACTGGAAGTGGAGTGGAAGTAGCATTTTTAGAAGCAAATGACGAGATTGGTTTCTAAAATGCCCTTGAAACACATTTTTAATGTCTGGCCTCTTAATCTGGTTATAGAAAATCACTCTCTTGCTCTAACCATATAACTGGGAACCCTCCTCTCCTCCCCCGCTGCCATCTTTCATTTTTTGTAATGGAGATTTTAAAACCCTATTTTAAAAGTTTGTTCTTTATGAATCTCACTCACTGTATTCATTTGGATTCCTAAAATTGGCTTTTATCTGAATAGGAGAGGCTAGGCTGTCTTGGTTTCCCACCAGAAATGAAATGACATTGCTTGTGAAGTAGTGGTTTATCATGGATTATTAAATATGCATTGTGTCCTTTGACAATAAATATGTGTTGTTTTGCACTTCAGTATCTTAGAAATGTTAACACAAGTTAGGAAGCTATTTAAAGGTATGGCTAAACACTCCCTCCCAATCCCATCATGGAACCGGGGCAGTATCGGTTGGGATATATGTAAAGCAGAGACCCCAAAAGCTCAGAGTCCTGCTTTTAACACTGCAGTGTAGCTTTGGGAAAGTGAGTTGAACTTGACTCCATTTTATTTCTGGGAAATGAGACAGCCATAAAAGGCCCAGAAGGTTACAGAAAGCTCAGATAACAGTTGTATCCCTTTCTACACCTTGAACATGTTATCCATGAATTCTCTAGCAAACCTTATCGGCTTGTACCCTGAACCAAAGTCTAAAGAGTGTGAACTGCTTCTTTATAGAGTTTTCAGTGTGATCATATGAGCCATACTTCATAGAAAGATAATCTCAAGGGAAACTGAAAAGAGGAAAGGCAGAAACTCACATCTGTTTTACATTCTAATCACATCACTTCAGAGGGCTGGGCAGGAGCAGGAGTTATGCAAGCCAGTAGTGATAGTAGTGGTTTCATTACAGGTATGGCCACATGAACAGCTCACAATGTTTCTATGCTAGCATATTTGTTGTCTTTATGCTCAATCCCTGAAAGTTTAAATATTTCTTTTAAATCTCAGAGGGAAGGTAAGGATAAGTGGATGGGTGGGAAAAGAACCAAAGAACTTATATGCATATATGCTTAACCCATGGTCACAGACAATGTGCGTGTGGGCTAGAAGGGGTCAATGGGAATATTTATACCATGATTCAAGGTGGATGGGATAAGATATAAATCCTTAACAAGATGATTTAATATATCTGAAATTAATTTTTGTTTTTTTTTTTTTAAATCTCTCTCTTTGCAGGTCAACTGCTAGGGAGTATGCTCTGAAAATTATCAAGAAAAGCAAATGTCGAGGCAAAGTATGTATAAAGTTTATTCTTATGAAAATACAGGTATTCAGGGGATAGAAAGGAACAAAGCTCAGCTCCTAAATAAACATAAATTCACCCCCATTTGTTGCATTTTGGTGGAATAGAAAGTTATATACTAATTAGATTATAACTTTATTTTATAAATAGTCCTGGAATAAAAGTTAGCTAAAATGGTTTGATGTTATTTTTGTTTCTTATCTTTATTTGCTTATTTGTTTACTTTTCCCCATTACTTTTGTGATCTTAATTTTCTTTCGTTCCTTCTACATGAACTTATAGTTATTGTGATGGGTTCTGAAATTACAAGCATCATCTAAAAACCTTCAATATCTTTTGACAATTCTAGGCTATCTGAGTATCAGAATCTAAGATATACTCATTATATTTGACCAAAATACATGTCCCTTGAACTTCACATAGTAGAGTTTTTCTCATGTTGAGTTAGCTTCTCCCATGTTTGGATGTGAGTATTGATTAAGATCACTTCTCCTTTGGACAGGAGCACATGATCCAGAGCGAGGTGTCTATCTTAAGAAGAGTGAAGCATCCCAATATTGTTCTTCTGATTGAAGAGATGGATGTGCCAACTGAACTGTATCTTGTTATGGAATTGGTAAAGGTGTGTATTTTGGGAAAAGAAATAAACCTGTTCAAGCAATCACACTTTTCTCTATCATACAGTTCTTTATTTCCTTTCATCAATATTCAGCCTCTCATTTCAATACATTAGCATCATGGTTAAGATTATTAATTAGAATTATACCAGAAAAGTTCAAATCCCAGCCTTTACCTAAATAGTTCCCTGACCTTGAGATACCTCTCTGTGTTTCAGTTCCCTTATATGGAAATAGTAGTACTTACCTAGGAGTGATATTGTGGGGATAAGAGGAATGGCTCCCATAAGTTTGTGTGACACAGAAAGTATTAGATACCAATATGATCATTGTTGTTATTGTTATAGTAGAAATTGTTCACTTTTCATGAATTACATCCAAATGTGTTACCCATTTCTATAAAAACAAGCTTTAAGCTTTAGTTACCAACATAATGGAAAAATAGCATAGTCCTAACAATAATGTAAATAGTCTACCACCTTTCAGTGAACGTTGCCATCTCATCCTGTCACATAACTATATTTTTATTCTATTAAACCATAGGATATAGAAATGGCTAAATGTTGATAATGATTGCATGTAAATGAAAGATGACTTGCCTATTTCCTCTACTTCCATATGTGAAATTTTTAGTAATTAGACTAAATATTGAATGTTTAGTTTTCATGTAGTTATATTTTTTCTCAAGTTGTATTTTTCTCAAGTCTTTTGTATTGTGTTAACCTAATTGATGGTGTAAGTAATTTCTACTTTAGTTGTGAAGTGTCGTAAATTAGTCGCACCACCTTCTGCATCAAATGTGTGCACCATCAGAGAGAGCCTAGAATCACACACTGAGCTGGTAGCAGAGATCAGCACTGTGGTATATGGGATTTTCTTTTGTAAAGATTTAAGACAAATAAAGCATTTAATAAACTAACCTGTTAGTATGTAAGAAAATGTTCATTCTAGAACCTTTAAATTTTCATTGTTCAAAGTTGCTTTACTTTAGATATATTGGTATTTTTTCAACTTAATAGTTATTTATATTTATAGATGGAGCCTATTTTTTCTATTTCAGGTTAGAACTTGTTTCTTACAGAGGGCTTGTTTGCATTAACACAAGATTTTGTCACATTTGAGGCTGAGGGAGATAAAAATATTAAATGGTTATTCCAACAACTAAAGGTTGATTTCATTTAGCCAGAAGATTTTTGTATTGGCACTGTATAGCCAAATAAAGTTTGGTGGTTACCAACATTGGAAATTATACTTTTTCGAGCACCAGGGATAGTATTTTTATAATGATGTTACTTCTGAGATAAAAAAAAAAAAAAAACTTCAAATAATTCCTGTTGCCCTCCTGTGTGCTATTAAAAATTGATCAGCCTGACACTCTCAGGGGCCCCTGTGATCAGCACTGGTGGAGCGTGTGGTGGTGGAGGGTGGCCCAAGTTTGGGGGCTCAAAAGCTCCAAAAAATGTTACTGCATTGCTTCCTGCTCTTCCTCGACCCCAGGACCTTGCTTCTCCCTCTAGGAGTCTAAGGAACCCTTCTGGCCTCCAGCTACTATCTGTCCATCAGGTCCGCATGGGTCCCTGATAACAGCTTCCTGGTCTTCTTTCCCTGTCCACCCAGGGTTTGAGCTTGAGTAGGGGAGGGGATATTTAATTTTATTAACTTCCCTTTCCTCATCCCTGCTTTTCAACCTTCATATCAGTTCCCAGGCTGGACTATTTGGGCAAGACTCATGACTACCCCCATTGCAATTCTATTTTCTGATGCAAGTTTTAGCTAAACGATTTAGAAGCTTTTTGAGGGGAGGCAGGCTGGCAAAAAGTATAGCTGTATAATAAAAAACCATCAACTTTCCTGGGAAGGAGGGATTCTAAACTTTCTTTTATCCCCAATTTCTACCTCTATAGACTAGCCAGGATTTAGCGTCAATGAGAGATCTGGAATGGTTGACATGATTGAAACTACATACCATTTCAACCCCCAATAAATTATTTCTCACCCTTTTTTTCCAGCACTTAATTTAGGAGCAAATTTCACTATACCCTTTTAACTGCCAACCTCCTTTCCCCTTTGTTCAGTGGAGTTCCTTTTGTCAGTTTCCATCCTCTCTTCATGTCTTTGGTTCTATTTGATGAACCCTGATGGGAGCAGGATTTGGGTCCCCAGGAGGAGAGCCTTGGGTGTCATCTATTTTTCTAGTAATCCTTTGCCTTCTGTCATTTATCAGTCTTTGTCTTGTGCTTTGATGGTCCAGGTTAATTTACATTCCTGGGGCAAAGGGAAGTTATGTTGTGTTGTGGAAATAAAAAGTTTTATTTGCAAAAAAATACACAAAAACTCATTGACCTAGTTTTGGGCAGCTACAACTAAGTTAAATTTGAAGGTGACATAAAAGAGGCAAAGGCTTAAGAGCTTAGAGCACATTTTATGGGGAAACTTGTTATGTCAATTATATAGTCTGGTGACTATAACTAAGGAGGTCCTTGTGTCCTTAACAGACTTTGTGAACTTTCCCTTGGTGTCCAAGACAGCCTCACAAAGCCAGAGAGTGTCTGTAGAGTACCATTAGGTAAGACCCTTACATTTGACCTGACCCAGAACTTCTGTGAGGTCAGGTCTGGAAGTTAAGGCCAATCCCAGGCTCGACCCCTGAGAAATTTCGCTGGGGCCATGGTTCTCAAACTGTAAGAGTCCAGTGGTGTGCTAAAGAGTGATGCAGATATAAGAAAAACCAGGTCTGAATTGCAGAATACAGTGAAATAACTATTATTAAAAGTCAAATTCAGCCCTTGATGGCTATGGCTCAGTTGGTTGGAGCATTGTCCTATATATCAAAGGTCACGGGCTCAATTCCCAGTTAAAACCTGATCTCTCTCTCTCTCTCTCTCTCTCCTCTCCTTACTCCCCCTCTCCCTCTCTCTCTCCTTAACTCTTTCTCTAAAATCAATAAAAAAGCATATCCTTCGGTGAGGATTAAAAAAAATTAAATTAAATTCCCTAATTATTAACATCAGGACTTTATACCATTGCCTGTAGCAGTGTGCATGAGCAAACTGCTTATGTGCACAGAGGAAGGCAAGCCTTGTGGGGGAAGGTGGCCCTGTGGCCAGGCCCTAAGAATTCAACAGGAGTTAAAGACAAAGGGAAGCCAGCCTCATGGCTCAGTGGTTGAGCTTCAAAGTATGAACCAGGAGGTCATGGTTGGATTCCTGATTGAGGCACATATCCGGGTTGTGGGCTCAATCCCCAGTGGGGGTCATGCAGGAGAGCACTAATCAATAATTCTCTCTCATCATTGATGTTTCTGTCTCTTTCTCCCTCTCCCTTCCTCTCTTTGAAATCAATAAAAAATATATTTATAAAAGAAAAAAAAAGACAAAGGGAGTACAGGGGACATTCCAGGAAGGGAGTTCTAATGAGGACGGTTTTGGAGTACAGAGTGATCTGGGCTTGTTTTGGTGACCAGGGATCATGAATGTCTCCAGGTGACAGGAGATGAGTTTAGATAAGTTAGAATGAAGGTCGGGGTAGTACATGGAGAGCTATGGGAAAGGAATGCTGATCCCTTGAAGAGAGAAAGAAAATCCATATCAATAATCATCTGTGAAGGTGGCAGTCAGTGCACAGGGTTCTTTGGGTACAGAGCCCATGGAGGCAGTGCAGGTTACCTGGCCACATCACAACAACCCAGGGATGATAAACATTCATTCAGAAGGATGTGAACCAGGCATGCCTTAAAGGAAGGGTTGGTTGACTTTATTGACTGCTTTGTTGAGGATGAAGAGGAAATGAGATTACAGGATGCCTGGAGCCTGGATAATTAAGAAAAAAGTAGAGTGATTGTGGGCCACCATATACAGCCTCACACATAGACAGCAGTGGAAACTCCACCTCCTGGAGTGGCATGGAAACAACTTGCAAGCCCATTCATAGCAGGCTTGCCTTGAGAGAAACGGGAAGTCCAGAAAGAAAGTGTTCATTTTGAAAAAAAAAATGCATGTGTTTCAACACTTTGGGTACTTTTGAGGCTGACTGGACAGTGAGAGCCTCTTGAGTAGAGATTGTACAGGGCAACAACATAAGGCCAGGTCGTACAGAGAGATTTGAAAACTGTTAGGCTATGAGTGCTATATCCTGCTTTTGCTATTTAAAAACAAAAATTAAGTCCCAACCATGCCAGGTAACAGATGAGCACAGTTGGAGACTATGCTCAGCTGTTTGGTGCATTGTATGATGCAAGAAGGATGAAAACACTGCTAGTAAATCAGTTCCACATTTTCTGACCCGGTTCAAATAAATGGAACTAAATTGGAGCCTAAAATCATTGTTTTACCAAATAACAATAAATTAACAGGGAACAGGGAAACAAAAGTTCAGGTGAGTAATGGTCTTAGCAAACTTTCTTTGAAATTTCTCCACCCTCTTTCTTTCTCATTTTTGGGATGACAGTTTCTGGTCCTTTTCTCTGTTTCTTACAAAAAAGGACACCATTAAAAAAGAAAACACTACTACCACCCCAAGAGAGCTAAATCTAGAGTGAAAGGAATTATGTATGTGTGTGTGTGTGTGTGTAATTTTCACAGGGTAGAGGGTGTGGTTTGCAGTATTACCTGTTTCTCATTTGGGGTGGTAGGATTTTGAATTTGAACTTCTGCTGGGAGTTGGTATAAGGCAAGTACCACACACCACAAGGACACCCAGATGTCACAAAGCCTCTGCCCTGGAGACCCTGCATTGCCCCTCCATGCTGGCTGAGGTCCATGAAAAGATTGCAATTACACAGGGGTGGGCAAGAGTCCTCACCCTGCTTCTTACTTTGAGCTCTGGAGGAAATGGCTTTTGCAATGGAAAGAGAAATCACCATAAAGTCTCTGGGCCTTTGAAAGGAAAATGGCAGGGAAAGCCCTGGGAACCCAAAGGTCCTGCATGCATTCATGATGTTCTTTATAATGTATCAGTCCTTCTTCAGGGCAGCTCCATTGGACCATCTGCTAATGTGCTGCTCTGCCTGCTGCTTTCTTCTCAGGGAGGAGACCTCTTTGATGCCATTACTTCCACGAACAAATACACTGAGCGAGACGCCAGTGGGATGCTGTACAACCTGGCCAGTGCCATCAAATACCTGCATAGCCTGAACATCGTCCATCGTGATATCAAGCCCGAGAACCTGCTGGTAAGAGAAATGCAATTTCAGGGCACCTTGAGTTTCAAGCACTTTTTTTTTCTATTTCCTTTTGTCTCTTAAAAAAATACCTTAAAGGCTAGTATTCAGCTGGTTTTCAGTAACTATTGGGAAACTAATCTTTTATGTTGATCTATAGCGATTAATATGCCATTAGGAGCACTCATATTTGCAAATGAAAACCTGAAGCAGGAGGATGGGAACAGAACTCAGGGAGTCTAGGGACGTGGGCTAGTCTAGGATAGTGAGAGGAACATTTACATTTATATAATTTATCTACAGCACTTTTATGTTAGAAAGATTTATTTGGAAAAAAAGGAAGCACTTTAGTCTCCCAGATTTACATTCCAATTATAGAAGGGTGGGCAAAAGTAGGCTTACAATTGTTCGTATAGGAAATAATACAGCTTGCCAGCATGCTTCAGTGGTTGAGCATTGACCTATGAACCAGGAGGTCACAGTTTGATTCCGAAGCAGGGCACATGTCCAGGTTGCAGGCTCAATCCCTGGTGTGGGATGTGCAGGAGGCAGCCAATCAATGATTCTCTCTCATCATTGATGTTTTTATTTCTCTTTCTCCCTCCTCCTTTCTCTCTGAAATCAATAGTAATGCAATAATTAATTCCGTGTTTCACATACAAACAACTGTAAACCTACTTTTGCTTACCACTGTATGGTCTAAAAGCTAACGGAATAAATCATCTGAGTTTTTAAAAACACGAGCCCCTCAGCATAAAAATAATCATGATAAAGACTGATTTAAAAAAGCAGAGACATTCTAACTGCCCTTACAACTATTTGGTTTGTTTTTCATGAACCACCCTACCCCCCACATCTCTGGGAAGATAGAGAGTTTCCCATGCAAGCAAATGAGCACTCTTTCAGGGTCTGTTGTTAAGGGAAAGTGTTGGAAAGAATTGAGAAGACAGACTGGACATCAGAAAGCTGCCTCTGGTGAATATGGAAATAACAAAATTTGTGGGCTATTCAGGCTGGAATTTTAATGAATCCATTCAATCCTCCCCTCCCCCAAGGTGGTAGTTCTTCCTCTACTTCCATTATCCAACCCTGAGAGTCAAAGTATTATGTGACTGCTAGAGGCCTGGTGTACAAAATTAGTGCACGGGCGGTGGGGTTTGTCCCCTCAGCCCAGCCTGCACCCTCTCCAAACCGGGACCCCTTAGGGGATGTCCGACTGTCGGTTTAGGCCCGATCCCGGGGATTGGGCCTAAACCGGCAGTTTGACATCCCTCTCACAATCCTGGACCGCTGGTTCCTAATTGCTCACCTGCCTGCCTGCCTGGTTGCCCCTAAATGCCACCCTCTGCCAAGCTGATTGTTCCTCATTCCCTCTGAGTGCTGGCCTAATCACCCCCAACTGCCCCCCTCTGCCAGCCTAATCACCCCCAGCTACCCCCTGCCAGCCTGCTTGCCCTCAACTGCCCCCCCACTGGCCTGATCACCCCCAAAACCCCCCGCTGGCCTGGTTGCCCCATGCAGCCTGTTGTTCAGTCGTTTGGTCATCCCTCACTCACCCCCTGCCAGCCTGGTCGTAGGCAGCCATCTTGTGAGGGCATGAGGGTTAATTTGCATACTACCTCTTCATTATATAGGATTAGCTTGCCTATCTCTTCAGAAATCTGGAAATTGAGGATTCTCTTTCTAAAACAGTGCTTCTCCAAGGGTGGTCTAAAGACTCCTACATCAGAATTACTCCCAGGTGCCTGTTAAAAATGCACATTTTTGTCCTGGTCGGTTTTGCTCAGTGGTTAGTTGGCTCGCAGACCTAAGGGTCTCAGGTTCAATTCCCTATCAAGGGCACATACCTTGGTTGCAGGTTCAACCCCCGGCCCCTGGTCAGGGGTGCAAGTAGGAGGCAATCAAACAATGTGTCTCTCTCATGTCAATGTCTCTCTCTCTCTCTCTCTCTCTCTCTCTCTCTCTTTCTCTCCCTCTCTATCCCTCTTCCCCACTCCCTTCCACTCTCAAGTGAGGGTTAAAAACAAACAAACAAACAAAAAAACAAATAAAGCTAATTTCTGAGCCTTCTTGCAACCCTACCAAATCAGAATATGGTTACTGGTAACAGGGTGCATATGTGCCTTGCAGCAGGCTCTGCCGGATGATTAATATCAACAAAATTTAAAAGCAGATGAGTACTCCAACACTTGCTATACAATAAAGTCTGATAAGATCTGTTGTGATGGAGAACTACCTATGTGTACATCTTGTGCTAAGGGCTTTATATTCATTATTTCATTGAATTCTCTCAAGAACCATATGGGGGTAAATTCTATTACTATCCCATTTCACAGGTAAGGAAGCTGAGTGCCTAGGAGTTCAAAGACTGCCCAAGACCATAACAACTCATAAGTGGAGTGCCAGTATCTTAACCTGGTTCTGCCCTTTTCTAAAGCCCAAGCTTTAACTGCTAGACTACATAAAGCTAGGAATGGACAGAGTGGTTTATGTCAGGCTAGCTATGTGCTCGGTTTTGTGTCAGGGAAGACGGGCATATGCCTTCATGGAGGTGACATCCAATTAGGAAAAATTCAAGAGATAAATACACAAGCCAGTAGTTCATTGCAATTATGTTAGCAATCTTGTAGCCACTGACTAATAAAGGCAGCTGAGATCAAATGATGTAGATCTGACTTAATTGCACCTCAGATTCCACATGGCTGCAGTGGCTTAAACATTCTCCTCTGCATAACTGCCTCTGTAAACTGCAGCAACTTTCTTCCCATCTGCATTAATTATTCCTGAATTATGTGGGATGGTCCCAAGGGAATAGACTTAAAACTGGGCCTTTGTTCAAAAACTTCTCTAAGCTCTGAAAAGTCAGTGATTGAAAATTAAAGCTTTAATTCCCTTCCTCCTTTTGCAGGTCAATTTTGCTTTTCACCAGAGTGTTATCTGTTTCTTAAATGCCACAAATGATTATATAGAAGTGTTCTTTAACTAAAATTAAAATTTACATAAGAGTTGTTAAATATTGTGCTCATTCCAATATATTTTAAATTACTCAAAAAGGATAAAGGTTCTCTCTGTTTTTGTTTCCTAATTTAAGAATGTAAAATATACATGTACATGTGTGCATGTATACCAGGTATACATATATATACACACACACTCACACCATTGTAGTAATTCATAACCTAGGTTTAAAATACATATGTATGAGAAACTAAAGCAATTCTGCTTCTACACAATAATAATTTCTTACTATAGGAGAGTGTTAAGGGTTGGTGAGGTTTGCAGTGATAAATCTATTATGGGATAAAATAGATAGAAATATAGAATAAGTTTAACAAAATTAGGATAACATCACTAATTGCACTTGAGACTTCTATTAATTTCACATTTCTTTACCTTTATGTGGAAAAGAGAGAACCATCATGGGAGGCACACATTCACATTCTCAGGATTTATAGTCAGATGGAAAAAAGTTCAAAACCAAATGCATCACTCTTCCTCTAGCTTGTCTGATGACCTTGAACAAGTTACTTAACTCCTTTGAGCTCCCTTCAAAGGGAGTTTATTAAAATAAAGAGATAACACATAACTAACTATAAGTTCCCTTTCTTTTTATTCTCCTTTTATTTCTAATAAAAGTAAATTACCCTTAAAATAAAATTTTAACAATAAAATTGTATAGTGTAAACATTATATTTTATCTTTATTGACATTGTTTTAAAAATTTCATTATTTACCAAGCATGGATTTGCTATTTCATGGCAAAATGTAGAGCTAAAGACTATTTTTGAAAAATGCTATAATAACTTTAATGTAAAGATTTTAAATCCATTGTCTTATTACAGGGAAATTTACCAAGTAAGTAAAAAGATCTCTCCACATACTTTTTTTTTTAATTATTTTTGCATACTTTTCATTGCTGTTTTATTCAGAGACCTAAAAAACTTCCAAATTTTTAGACTACTAACAAGATTTTTGCTAGTTAAGTGCTTGTTATAACTAGCAAATTGTTATTTATAAGTGTTAATTCGGTTATAGATTTCATTTTATGTAGTATCATTGTATAGACAGAAATTTAGAATTTTTTATTTTTGATTCTTATAGAACAATTTAACACATTGTTTGCGGGTAGTTTTTATCGCGCGCTAACAGGTGGCGCAGGCGAATTTTGCTAATTTTTTGCGCAAATGGCAACATTCAGTAAAATTACAATAACTTTACTTTTACATATTTTTTTCAATGAAACTTTTTGTGATTTACTATAAAATGTATACTGAATTATTTTTCTTAGAATTGCACTGAATGCGTGGTGAGGCAGAGAATTGTGTGAAGGGATGACTCTACGGCTACGCAGTTGAATAAATTACTGTTATACCTGGAAGTGAATAGATTCATTATACCTGGAAGTACATACATAATTCACCATTGTATGTGTTAGAGACCCAAATTTTGTCCTTTGGAATTCGTATATCTGCATGTTAGCACCCCTTTAGAGCAATAAAAAAGTATAAAAATAAACGTATTTATACGTTACCCACATTCTACCGCTAGTCTATAAAAAACATATTAATACGTGTCCCGTGCTCTACTACCAGTCAACGTAAAACGTATAAATACGTTTCCCGCATACAATGTGTTAAAAATGTTGTAGCTTGGCCTTAAGAATCTATTGTGCTCATATAAATGATTTGTTTAAGTCTAAGTATTTGGTCAGCTCAAATCATTTTAATGAGAACATATGATTTGATTTGTAGTGATGTTTCCAGTCACATTTTTTTTTTAAAGATTTGTTTTTAATATATTTTATTGAGTTTTTACAGAGAGGAAAGGAGAGAGATAGAGAGTTAGAAACATCGATGAGAGAGAAACATCGACCAGCTGCCTCCTGCACACTCCCCACTGGGGATGTGCCCGCAACCAAGGTACATGCCCTTGACCGAAATCGAACCTGGGACCTTTCAGTCCGCAAGCCGACGCTCTATCCACTGAGCCAAACTGGTTTCGGCTCCAGTCAC